ATATCAGGATATAAAGAGTTTCTTCATTCTTTGTACAGATGCCCAATATCCCATAATATATATGGATGCATCATCACTTATTTAACTGGTCTTCTAATGGTTAATTTCCAGTATTTTACTATTACAAACAAGGCTGAAATTAAAAAGGACAAGATAAAAATTATATTTCTGATAAAGGGAACGTTCCTATTTCTTATGTGCATGATACAGCATAAAGCAATTTTTCTGTTCTGCCAAAATCTGACAGATGAAAAACAGCATTCTCCTAAGGATATGGTAGTTTTGTTTTGTTTTTCTATATCTTCTATCTCCGGCATTGGTTCAGTTTCTTCTGAGTCCCCTTTCCCTATGAATTTGGTACCTGTCCCTTACGTTAGAGATTTTCCTTAGCTGCCTGGCCCTTCTTGGTCATCTGCATGTATTTAAAGTGAGGCTCTAGGAGTGCTAATTTGTAAACATCAGGTAAGACTGGTTCAGGCGAAAATCATCAACAGATGTTAACCTAGGGAAATGTGAGGCAGGACAGGAAGTCTCCATGGATTGCTTATCAAAAGGGAAAAACTTGTCACCGTGTGGTAGAAGAGCCAGAAAACACAGAAATCAAGATTTACATCCCTGGTGAGGATAAGCCACCATCGAGTGCTTCCAGGTTGACACCCTGAGGGACACACACTACTTGGTGGGGCCCAGCTGGGAACATACCACTGCATCTAATCACAGGAAAACACCCAACAAGTCAAGTTAGGAGTGTTCTATTAACAATAAAAGGAGTGAAAAGCGACGGCACAGCACAGTGCAGTGCAGCTCTGGTTCCCCTTTCCCCCTTGCTGGGTGAGAGGTGTCTTATGGGGCACCAACAGTCACCGCCGCCGGGTGCTGTCTCTATGGCGAGGAGGAGGAGGAGCGCAAGCTCAGAGATACAAGTACATAAATAAAAGAGTATTTTATGAAACAAACTTCAATCAAGTGTAACATTTTGATGCTTGGTATCTATACTTCCTTGTGCCCTCACTATGCCAGCAGCAACTGTAGATCATAGCCAAAGAATTTGTGAAGTTTGGGCTTGCAACTTGGATGAAGAGATGAAGAAAATTCGTCAAGTTATCCGAAAATATAAATACGTTACTATGGACACCGAGTTTCCAGGTATGGTTGCAAGACCCACTGGAGAATTCAGGAGCAATGCTGACTATCAATACCAACTACTGCGGTGTAATGTAGACTTGTTAAAGATAATTCAACTAGGATTGACATTTATGAATGAGCAAGGAGAATACCCTCCAGGAACTTCAACATGGCAGTTTAATTTTAAATTTAATTTGACGTAAGTGGAAATCAAATATATACTCAAACTTATTTTTTGGTTTAATTTTAGGAATTGATTTTCCTCAAATATAGCAAAATTCTAAATGAATTTTGTATAATTATCCTGGAAATATCTAAAATTTCAAAAGCTTAGGTTTCTTTTTTACTATAGGACCAAAAAAATAGGATAATGAAGATTTTTAAGTTCAAATACTTGAATTTTTAGAGATGGGCTATTTAAAATATGACTGCCACTGTTTGTGAATTTGGAAAAACAAAACAAAACAAAAACAATAAAAGGGACTGTTTTTCAACACTGTCAATGTCATAAGAGGTAAATAAAAATGAAAGACTGTGAAAGTCTTCCAGATTCAAGAAGACTGAAGCATGAGCTGGATTTGGTGGCTCAGCCTGTAATCCTGCACTTTGGGAGGCTGAGGTGAGTGAATTGCCTGAGACCACGGGTTCGAGACCCACCTGGGCAACTTGGTGAGACCTCATCTCTACAATAAATAAATAAAAAAAAAATTAGCCGGGTGTGGTAGTGTGTGCCTGTAGTTCCAGCAACTTGGAAGGCTGAGGCGGAAGGATTGCTGGAGCCCAGCAGGTCGAGGCTGCAATGGCCAGGAGTAGCCACTGCACTCCAGTCTGGGTGACAGAGTGAGACTCCAACTCAAAAAAAAGAGACTGAAGCATGACAGCTATATGCTTTGTTTGGTCCTAGACTGGGTCCTGTCCTGGAGAAAAAAGCTATAAAAGACATCACTGGGCCTGCTTACAGAGTTGGAAAATAAATGGTATATTAGATAAAAGGACTATATCAACAGTGTCAGCAGCATTTGCACTGTATTTATATAGGGCACTGCCTATTCTTAGGAAATATACACTAACGAATGAGGGATGAAGGGCCATGATGTGCCTCACTGCCTTTTAAACGTGTAAAAATACTGTGTGTGTGAGGAGGGCAGGGAGTGAAAACACAGCGACAGGAAACACAAAAGACAGAACAATGGGGTAAATACTGGTCAAGGGTGAATGTGCACGGGGTCTCCTGGTGCTGTTCTAATTCTAACAGCTTTTCTGTAAGTTTGAATGTGTTTCCATATGAAAGTTTTTAACAGGGGAGGCTCTAAAATGCTGGTGGGTTGCTCTGTGTAGGGTCTGTTAGCTGTGGGGACCCAGACCCACCATGGTCAATACTGCAGGTCCCCCCCACCCCCCCCCCAGCTGGTCAGACTTTGTGGAGAGCAGCCTCCGGTCCTGTTTCAAGTGTCGACCTGGCTGAGACGTGGAGGACCTGCCTTGCCTTTTGGACTGCAGGCTTTTCCCACCTTCAGTGAAGCACCTCCTCTCCACCTTCTGCTCTGCACTTTGGAGAGAAGAAGTGACCCCTGTACTCTTGTGGCACAGGGAGCGGCTACTCTGGTTCCTATCTAGGTTGCAAGTACTCCTCACACAGATGAAACCATGTTTTCTGTTTCCAGCCCCAGCCTGCCCCAGCTATCAGACGTACCAGTATCCAACTGTGAAGTCTTCCCGGGATCCTGGGGTCACACTGGCCTGATCTGTGGCTTTCCCACTGCAGGCTGTTGATGTCACCCTTATCCACTCTGTAGTCAGTTCCTGCTCAAGTACTCATTTCCCAACTTCCAGAACTTTACGGATATCCCTCATCTTCTGTTGGCTATTTTCCTGTTTTTTGTTCTTTTTTTTTTTTTTAATCAATATTTTTTATTATGGTTTTGTGGGGTACAGTTAAGGGTTAGGTGTACAATTATGTTTCATTCAGGCACCCTGTTGATAAGAGGTGTTTCCGCATTCCCAGATAGATATTTGCTACTGTTAATCCCATCCCCCTCACCCCCCTGTTTTTTGTTCTTATGGACTTAAAACATTAAAAAAAACACAAAAAAACAAACAACTTTCACTGTCATTCTGGTGAGATTTTGAGGGTGTAAAAATAACTACATGGATTCAATCTGCTATCTTTAATCTGAAGTCTGTAATACCTTCCTTCTTCTATAACTTCTTTAGTTTGCAAATTATTTGCCCTTTTCTAGAAATATGGAGAAGTGATTTTAATATCTGCACAGTGCAGGACCTCTCCTCAGTATGTACAGTAAAGGGAGGCCTTGCACCATTCACTCAAAGGGTATGATTTGCTAAGGTTGGTCTCTATCATGGACTCTTATTGTTCTCTAGTTATGTTTAGTATGTAATAAAACATAATTAACACTCTAAGTTCAGAATTAATTTTTTTCTGACAGGAAATTAAAATTTGAGGGCTAAGTTGAAAAACATAAAGAAAAATAAAAAGAAAACAAGCACAGCTTGATTAGGGTTGATCTGAATCAAACAAAGCATTTTAGGTGATTCTGGGTTAAAAGAAGACCACAGAAGAAAGAGCTGGTCATGTAGGTAACAGGTTCCCAGGCTCCAATACTTATATCATTTTTTACTCAAGCAATATCTAGTAACTTATAACCAAGTGAAAGAAAGCATTCTTGATGTGCTTCAGAGTTTAACCCTTGCATATGTTAGAAAAGGCCAAACGGCATAGTGGGAAAATGGGAAAATGAACTATGACATTCTCAGGTTAGGTGTGAGTACTTTGCATAAACATGCCATTTTCTTCTTCCAAGACTACACAGAATTCTTCGGCGGTACCAAACAGCAAAGGTGGAAGACAGAGGGCCTCAGCTTCCCGGGGTCACCCTGCAGCCCGGGGTCTTCGGCCCACCAGGACCCTGTCAATCAGGTGGGCCTCCAAGGCTGGCTCCCAACATCCAATAATGAAAACTTCTACAACACTCAGTACTGAGCAGACCTTTTCTGGATTACTATATTCTATGTGAGATGCAAAATTTTACAAGGGTTAGTGACTAGTTTGTCCCCAAATGAGGGGATCATACAAGTTAGAAATGTTTAACCTGAGTAAGAGAGAACTTTGGGGAGCCCCTATCCACAGTTTTCAGAGATGTCAAGGGCCTGCATGAGGAGAAAAACTCCTCCTAGGCTGTATTAGCAGTCGCTTTCAAACTTCTTTGACATCACAAATCCCAGTATATATACACAACCATAAATAGAACTGAGTGGGGGCAAAGTCATCATTTATTCACCTATTCATCAAAATTAATACAAACATTCCAGAAGACAACATGTATCACATGCAGCACCCTCTGATATTTTCTACTCTATTCTATTTCATTTATTTAAATGATGAATATGACTCATTACAAAGCTCTCATAGTCCAGCACAGGTCACACCCCACCCCCAGCATAGAGACTGCTCCAGAGGAAAGAGCCAGGGTCACGGTTTAGGGTTCTAAGGGGTGAAGAGTCCTGGGAAGCCTGGGTGGGGGCACCCCAGGAGAGAGTAAAAAACCAGAAGAGGGAAGGGACAGTGGGCAGCCCTGGTGGGGCAGGAGGCAATTGGGAGTCCAGGGGGTGGGAAGGTCAGTCCCAGGAAGCAGTGGGCTCCATGACAGGAGGATAATCAAATGGGTGCTAGAAAAGGACAAGAGATCAATTTCCCTACGGTGTAAGAGGTGAGACCAGACACACACAAAGCTCCTCTTCCAATGCAAGACTTTACTCACCAGAACAAAAATTTACCAGTATCCATAAAAGCAAACCCCACCAGGCTGCAGAACCCTCCCTCCCTGCTCCCAGCACTCCCTGCCCCTCTGGCCCACCTGGAACACGAGAACACCCATGTGGGAAACTGCCAGGTGAATCTTGGTCCCTTCTCTGTCAGAAGCCGTGTGAAATCGGATGCCATACATTTCCAACTTTCGAGCAATTTCAAGCACCTGGAAATCTGACTCAGCAGGCGTCTGGCCCCTGGAATGAAGGACAGTATAATCAACTCACTACAAACATTTGATTTCTTTTTTAAAAATTTTTAATCTTGAAGATGTGGGGTATAATTCAGGGTTAGGTATACAAATGTTCATTATGTAGGTATCCTTGTTGATGAGGTATGCCCACCACTTCCCCTAGCAGTATCCCACTACTGACAATCTCTTTCTTATACTATTATGATAATTATTCAAGTCCATTTATGAGTGAGAACACATGGTATTCAGTTCTTTGTTTCTGTGATAGATTACTCAGTATTATAGACTCTAAGTCCATCCAAGTTGCTGTGAAGTTTATAATTTTGTCCTAGACATCTGATTTCTAAAAGAGCCAAAATGTATCATAGAAGTGATCAGGAAAACAAAATAAAATAAAACAAGGAAGATTTTGTGCTTTTAGACGGTAGATGGTTCACTGCATAACATACTATGCATACAGGCCAAAGACATAGTCAGCTTCCTTCAATTAATAGGTAAAATGTATATCCTTCGCATTCACTAGATACTTAGCCTTACAATTTGCACTCCCTCTCCCTGCACTTTTTTTTGAGTCAGAGTCTCACTCTGTCGCCCAGGCTGAAGTGCAGTGGTATGTTCATGGCCACCACAGTCTCAACCTGTTGAGCTCAGAGGATCCTTCTGTCTCAGCCTTCCAAGTAGCTAGAACCACAGGCATGTACCACCACACCAAGGTGATTTTTTTGATTTATTGTAGAGGCAAGCTCTCGCCACGTTGCTCAGGCTGGTCTCGAACCCATGAGTTCAGGCAATCCTCTTTTCTCCACCTCCCAAAGTGCTAGGATTATAGGTGTGATCCACTGTGCCTGGCCACAATTTGTACTTGACAGTGACAAATTTTACATTACATACAGACAAGACCATCTTGAGATGCAGAGGATAAGCAGCTGGCTAGACACACCCTTGCATGTCAATTTGTGAAATACATTTTTTTGCTTTATTTTGGTTTTTTTTGAGTTGGAGTCTCACGCCCAGTTTGAAGTGCAGTGACATGCTCAGGACCAATGCAGCCTTACCTGCTGGGCTTAGGTGATCCTTCCACCTCAGTCTTCCAAGTAGCTGGAACTACAGGCACACACCACCATGCCCAGCTAATATTTTTATTTATTACAGAAATGAGGTCTTGCCATGTTGCCCAGGCTGGTCTCAAACCCCTGGGCTCAGGCAATCCTTTCATCTCCACCTCCCACTCCATAATTTTATAAGAATAAAATCACAAAGTTGAATAAAAATATCACTGCTAGAATAATTGGTTTTATCCACATAAAAGTTTACAACACACAATGTGTTTATCATGTCTGAGGCCCATGGTCATATTACAGGAAACAGAAAGCGAACGTGGTCTGCAGCACACTGAGCAGCTTCCAGGAATGTGATGCTCACATGAAGCTGTAGACAGTATGAAGGGAAGATGATCTCATTGGGGCACCCAAGTTCAATGCCTGAACCCTACACATGGGATCTCCCATTAAGAACTTTTCTGATTATTCCCTCCACTTGTCGTCTTGCTCAGTCAGGCCCTGCTCTGAAGAGACTTCCACCATTTCCCCCAGCAAGCAGGCATGACCTGTGGAGGAGGGTGGCATGTAATTCCGCTTTGCCTGGATCTAGGGGCATGCCTTGGTCCCGATCCAGGGGTCCATGCAGGCCACAGGCTATGACCTGTACAGTGCCTATGATTATACAATACCACCTATGGAGAAAGCACTTGTGAAAACAGACATTCAGATAGCTCGTTTACTTTTGGGTGCTATGGATGGGTACCTCCACATTCTGGATTGGCTGCAAAATACTTTATAGATGTAGAAGCTGGTGTCATAGATTAAGATTACAGAAGAACTGCTGGTGTTGTACTGTTTAATTTTGGCAAGGAAAAATTTGAAGTCAAAAAGGTGACTGAACTGCACAGCTTCTTTGTGAACAGATTTTTTATCAAGAAATAGAAGAAGTTCAAGTTTTAGGTGACACTGAAAGGGGCTCAGGAAGTTTTGGTTTCATTGAAAATAATTAAAATTTATGCCAAAAATAGAATATGAGAAATTGTATCTTTTCTGTAAACTTCATAATTTTACCTTCTAAAAATACTTAATTTTCTTATGATCAAGGAAAGAGTATCTCTGTTGGGATCACATAGAAACTTACTTTCTTGTGTTTTTTTTTGCTGTTGATGGTTAGATGTAAATCTCCTTTGTGGTGACCTAATGCATATAATGTCTTTAAAATCAAACGTACATCAATTACAGACAAAAAAGGCCTGTATTATTTAATTCAGTAAATTATACTCCTTCAGTAAGAAAACAAAAATTTTTTTCCTTCTAAATGTCTCAACTTTTGAATCTTTAAGAAATAATGCAAATATGCTATTCCTATGATTTCCACTCTTTGACTAAAATTTCCATTCTCTGAATATGATATAGATACCTGACTAGTAGCTTATAGTTTAATAAACCATCATCATCAACAAGATGGCATGCCTGGTGTGTGGCATAACTGCTTTCCAAGAAGTCCTAATTTCGGAAGTTTCACTTATTTGTAAAACTATCAACAAAAAATTTTAAAATACAAATTTCTACTTTTCAATGTATATGCCAGTATCTACTTATGGAGAGGAATCATGATTTGGTGTTTAAAGAAACCTAGAATGCACTTCAGAAATCTTCAGAAGTTAGAAATCCCCATTTGAAAGAAGAGATAGATAATATTTAGCTATTTATTTCAGTATTAACTTTGTACATCTACAGAAACACCAGCAACCATTATGCATCTCTGACTTTGACCAGCCAACTTTCACATCTTTTTCTATGATCTCAAAGGCCCAAAATAAATTTGGTAATGTAAAGAAAAACACTTTTTTTTTGAGTTGGAGTCTCACTCGGTTGCCCAGACTGGAGTGTAGTGGCCGCTCCCGGCCACCGCAGCCTCGCCTGCTGGGCTCCGCCGATCCTTCCGCCTCAGCCTTCCGAGTAGCCGGAATTACAAGCATGCGTTACCACGCCCGGCTGATTATTTTATTTTATTGTAGAGATGAGGTCTCGCTGCCCAGGTGGGTCTCGAATCTGCGGGCTCATGCAATCCACTCACCTCAGCCTCCCAAAGGCATGGGATTACAGGCTGAGCCACCGAGCCCGGCTAGAAAAACACTTCTTTAATATCTTTTTCAGTGATTATAAAGGTGCTTCTGGTGGGTCATAGAAGAGCCATTAGAATTATGAGACAATGTAAGAAATTTACAGTGATTAAAAGAAGGTACAATGTTGTCCTTAAAACAAAAATCCTACACAAAGAGTGATTAAAAGAAACAAAAGATGCGCAATAAAGTTTTGAGACTGTTGCACACAGGTGGCATATTAACACTGTGAGTGCCAGAGACAGAGTGCTGAACTGGCTGCTTCCTGGCTCACTGGGGAAGAGTATAACTGTATATCTGTATGATGCGCATCACTCATCTTAGTCTTCTCTTACTGGCTTCCTAGAGTTTTTAAAGCATACGTCTTAAGACACATACACACACACACCAAACAGAGGCATGCACACACACAAGCACACATGTGCACATATGACCCACAGTATACAGCGCACACATGAACACATGTGTATGTACATGAACATACATGCCATATACACAAACACACAATGCATACATAGGAACAGGTATAACTTACATGCAAACTTATGGCACACTTGTATATATATAACACACCTGCACACATATGAACACACACACACACAGCTACCCTGAAGTCTAGTAATTGATTTCTTCCACAGGCAGGCTTCTCAACAAAAGTGCTCACAGATGCCAACACCATTTCCTCACTGTACTTTCAGTATGCTTGAACCTGTAACCCACTCTCAGCACTCACAGAAGCAGCAGAAGCCCACAGGCATACTCCTGCTTTTACCTTCCCGGGCCTGGTGGTGAGCCCCATCCCAAGGGGCTGTGGCTGCTTTCCTAAAACTCTCTCAGCACCTGTGTTCACTGTGGGCACCTCCTCCTTTACTCAATCTCTCCAGGACAGCTCTTCAGGGGTTCATCCCAGGCTCTCCTCTCTTCCTGACCTGTATCTGCCTTCTCCCTAGTTGATCTTACTCCCTGCATGGGTTCATACAACGTACATGCCTTTGACACTCTCCCCAGCACCCCAATCCACCTATCCACTGGAAGCAGTCACCTCAGTTGGACACATCACATTACAGTGCCAAATTCACCCTTCTTTATGTCCACGCATTCCCCATCTGCAGGGATGTATTTGTATATCCAGGTCAGGCACACAAAAGGTATTCCCCATGTATTAAGGAGGAGGAAGATGCATGAAACCTACACATAGCCTTGCAGGGTAGTATAAGATTTGTGAGGGCAGAAAACCTGGTCTGTGTTTTTCAAACTGAGCACCCAGTGCTGATAGCAGTGGCTAATGCATGGTTGGCACTTAAACTTTGAAGGTGTGAAAGGGCAGCTTTAACAACATATTATCTGACAAAATAAACTTGCATTTCAGTGGGTTGTTTCACAAAGGCAAGGCTAAGTCCTCTAGAATGACTTTCCCTTGGGTGACTAAAGTTCCCAGCCACCTTGCCAGACCTTCAATCCCTCTTCCCCTGGCACTCTTCCTCTGGGTCTCCTTCATTTCAATCCAGAAAAACACACCAGTGTCAAGTCTTAGCAAAATTAAAACATCTTAAGCCAAAGGACATGGCTATCATGTGATTCCCAATGCCCTGAATCAGGTGTTAGTCTCATATACCATCCCCTCCTCTTCTACCACAGCATGGCTGCTTCCCCCTGGAGGACCCCTTCTGCCACACGGTGGGGACAAAGCAGCAGATCATGTCCAGGCTGAGACCACCATGGCAGCATCCCAGTGTCCTGCTCACTAGCATCTACCTCCCCAGGCCCTGATGTCTTTTTCAGCCCCTCCTAAAGCAGCACATTTTGCAGTTGTGAGGGCATATCAGGCCAGGCCTGCAACCTCTCTGTGTTGGCTGAGCTGCCTCCTGGGGCAGCTGTGTGTCCTGAGACCAGGGAGCAATGGTCCTTACTTCAGTCAGAATTTTGCAGAAGCCATGACATCAGTCCTTTCTGGTTACATGCAGATTAGTCATTACTGTGGTAAAAATAAGCTAACAGCAATTCTGACCAACTTACATGTGCTTCCAATGGAATTCCAGTATCTTCTCAAGGAAGCGCTCTTGGCTGGGCAAGTACTTGTTGACTTTGAGATGCTCTCGATCCAGGGTTTCATCATAATCTCCTATTTCCGCTGAGATGGATCATAAAAATCAGTAATTCTAATTTTTAAATAAAGTAAACTACAAGCATTTGTACATGCCAATGTATAAATTAGAAGTAAAAAAAATTATCCTAAATCTGTAGTAAAATAATATATTCCTAAAAAGGCAATATTTTGTATTTTACTTTTCCAAATATTTTATGCTGTTAAAAGGTAAGTATAAAGGCAGGTGAAGAGGATTTCTCCTGACTCTTGAAGAACAAAGACGCTGATAAGTGACTCCAGGAAAGCAAATTTTGAGCTGTGAGTCTAATGTGAATGTTTATCATTTTAAAACCGCACTTTAAATGTAAGTTGTCTCCAGACTATCATGACCTGGATGGTGTATTTTATTCTATTTTTTTCAAGATAATTTAAAATAATTTTCCCTTCAGGGCTATTCATATTTCTTGAGGAATAATCTATCTTTCAAATTTCACGTATTTTAAGGCTACAAATGTTTTTTAAAAATAGTAAAGTCCAATAATTTAAAGCATTATATTATTTTTTTGTTTTGGAACAATCTCAAATTCATAGAGAAATCACAAGCACAGTACAAGAGCTTTTTTTCCTTGGAATCATTTGAGAGTGAGTTGGTAACATGTCATCCATCACACTTTGGATGGATTTCCTATGAAGTAGGACATTCTTACTCACGGGTAAAACCATCCAGATAGGAATGGGGTTATGAACTACTGCTCCATCCCAGACTCAGACTCTATTCACATTTCCCAATGCTCAATTGTGTTTTTTTATAACAAAAAGACTGAGTTCAGAATATACACTGCATTGAGCTGTCTTGTCTCTTTAGTGTTCTGCAATCTAAGCAGCATACTTCTAGGTAAAAATTACAATTGGACAAGTTATTATAATGTAACAGTCCAATTAAATCATACAGAGCACTTAAGTAAGTAGCGCTACTAAATTAACAGTTCAAAGGAATGCACTGAAGTACCATTTGTCTACCTGTGAAGTCTTTGGTCAAATGAGTAAAAACCAAAGTCATTTTGAAAACTTTTCCTAATGATAGTCAACAAGTCCCTGGTGCCGGATGACAAACCCATAAGATTTACTATTTGAAGAAGTTGTATCTGGCCAAGGACCAAGGAAACTGCAAATAACTCACATACTTATTAATTCTTTAAATTTTGGACATTTTTCTACATTATGTTTCCTGAATTCAAATTTCAGAAACATTAGTTCTGTGCTAGGAACTTGTGGTCCAGCCTCTAGTCCAGGAGAAATGTAGATATTTCCTTCTTTCCATTCCTACAGCTGGTGGCTTTGTAAGGCCCCGGCAAGTCACATACCAGGTTCTCAGAACTACTTCTTACACTTCTCATTGTTTATTTTTTGAAGTCACTATGATTCTTCACATAGTGATTCTTCTGAACCACCTCTTCATTTGTGTGATACTGAAGCAACGTTTCCTTTTTTCCTCCATGGGTAACTAAACTGAGAGGACTGTAATTTTTATCCCAACAAAGTCCTTTTCAGGATGGGCTGAGATTTGGTTTACAACCTGACTCCTAGACTGAAGATGCACTCTTGGTGAAATGCACAAAGGCATACATGAGAGACAATCCAAAAGAATGAATGTGGCTACAGATTTTGGCCTCAACCTCTGTTTGCCAGGTGGAGGTTATCTGCATCAAGGAATTCCCTTGTAGAAGTTAATCTTGGCTGGGTGTGGTGGCTCATGCTTATAATTCCAGCATTTTGGGAGGCCAAGGCAGGGGGATTGCTTGGGGCCAGGAGTTCAAGATCAGCCTGGGCAACAAAGTAAGACCTTGTCTCTACAAAAAAAAAAGATAATTATCTGGGCAAGTTGGTGTGTGTGCCTATAGTCCAGTACTTGGAAGGCTAAGGATTGCTTGAGCCCAGAAGTTCGAGGCTGCAGTAACCTATGATTGTGCCACTACACTCCAACCTTTTTTAAGAGACACCGTCTCTTAAAAAAAAAAAGTTAATCTTTAGCTCATAAAAAATACTGGAAATGAAACAATTCATTCTTTTATCAGGCACATTAATCATGCACATGCATCAGCAGCTAACTAGGCATAGCTTCTCTGAATGCTGGTGCTCCTGTGCCATCATCAGCACATGTTCCCACTGGCAGGGAGATACTAACACTGCAGAAGATGGGACGTGAGAAGGGCTGCTGTGGTGTCCGCACAGGTCAAACGCTCCTCCAGCAGGTCCCTCTTAAGTTGCATGGCAAACAAGTATCTAGAAGGAAGTTCAAAACAAGGCAGAGATCAACTCCAAGTGTTCTCCGAATGTAATACAGACATGTCTCTCCCAGCAAGATGGTGAACAAGCTCCAGGAAGCAGCAATGGTCCAACAGTGAGCAAAATGCAGGACTGTCACGAAATAGACAGAACCACAAAAGGTCTACTAAAGCAGTCACCAAACAAAGGTCACATGGCAAACCAACTCAGCAGCCTGAGTCACACGCACGGGAGAGGGCACAGAAAGTGCTGAGCACACTGTGGCCATTCCAATGTGACAAAACGAAGAAATTAGCCCTTCCAGGCATACTATATACCCACATAATTCCACTATCTGCAGAAATACCTTCAAGGAAGAAGTTCACAGACTCATTGCTTTTGTTACAGGTACAAAACTTCACTCACAATGTTGGATAAAGAAGTAGAAATATCCATTGAAGATACGGCTTAAAATGGTTATGAAATTTTTAACAGACTGACAATATCTGGTCTTGGCTAGTATCTGGAAAATAGGTACCTTAGAGTACCACTGGTAAGAATACAACCATCTCTGGAAATATTTATATGCTCATTTATTCTATCAACAAATAGCTATTGAGCATTACTATGTTCTAGGTACTGTTCTTGGAGCTTGGAATTACAATGGAGAGCAAGATCAACTTCCTGCCCCCACTAGAATTTACACTCCAATACAAGCTATTAAAGTTTACTATATTCTCTAAAAATTTAAGATGTGCATACCTTTGAACATAGCGATTCCATTTCTATGAATGTAATATTCCCACAGTACACAAAGATATGTGGACAATCATTTTTTTTTTATTGCAGTATTATAACAGAGAAAATTGTAAATAATATAAACATGCAAGAATAAGAGAATGGTTAAATACATTAGGATACAGTCATGTAAACTAATGTGGAAAAATGTACATGGTATGCTATTAAATGGGGCGAGGGGAATTAACCTACAGTTCAGCAGGAATCATTTGATACTGTTTTGTAACATCATAATTTTTTCAAAGTCTTAAGTCTACCTGTTTATTGTACATCTGCGCATTCATCTGGAGGATATACTCTCAAGTGTTTGTTCTTACGTGGAGACTGTGGTAGGTGGGTAGGATGAAGAACTTTCACTTTTTACTCAGTTTTATTTGAAAAAAAAAATTCTCTTACCACAAGTATACTCTTTGTAATACATTTTAAAAAGAACCTGCAAGGTACAGTGGCTCACACCTGTAATTCCAGCACTTTGAAAGGCTGAGGTGGGAGGATTGCTTGAGACCAGAAGCTTAGGCAACATAGTGAGACCTCAGCTCTACAAAAAATTTTAAAAATTAGCCAGGTATGGTGGCAAGTGACTGTAGTCCCAGCTACTTGGGAGGCTGAGGTGGGAGGATTACCTAAGCCCAGAAAATCCAGGCTGCGGTGAGCTGTGATCATACCACTGCACTCCAGCTTGGGGAACAGAGTGAGACCCCAATTCGAAACAAAAAACAACAAAAAAAGAAACTGCTGCATAAAAATAGGGGAGAAGAGAGCCTGACTTCCTAATATAAGTCCTAAACTTAGATCCAGAATCCTGAATTAGGGGATATTTTCTCTTACCCATCATTTTTGGGTATATATATTTAAAAGTAATTCCTTCAAAAGGGACTTCTGGTAAATGTCAGGCACTTACACTATTAATATAAGGTCTGTGTTAACTCATAAAGATACTTTTTGTCATCCTTGGAGTTTGGTTTCCTCAACCTATAAAAATGAGAGGCTAAACTTATATAGTCTCTCCATGTTCTTGTAGCTGACATTCTATGATTTTGTAATGTTAAAATGACCTGCAAAAATGTTTAAAAGAGATTTCATAAGACACCTATGACTCATTTATGAATCTACTTTTAGCAAGGAAGGCTAAAAAGTTATTCTGATACCACTATAACATCACAGTTGTCTTTTATCTTATATCTGACCTTGGGTTTTGAGTTGGTTTTTACTTTATTTTATTTTATTTTATTTTATTTTGAGTTGGAGTCTCACTCTGTCGCCCAGACTGGAGTGCAGCCTCGACCTGCTGGGTTCCGGCGATCCTTCCACCTCAGCCTTCCGAGTAGCAGGAATTACAGGCATGCGCTACCACGCCCGGCTGATTTTTTGATTTATTGTAGAGATGAGGTCTCACTGCCCAGGCGGGTCTCGAACCCGCGGGCTCAGGCAATCCACTCACCTCAGCCTCCTAAAGGCACGGGATTACAGGCTGAGCCACTGAGCCTGGCTTGAGTTGGTTTTTAGGTTATTTCTTTATTCATTTTTAAACTGATATATGTATGAACACAAACAAATACAAGGAAAAAACTTCCATAATTTTATTGCCCAGATGAAACAATTGTTAATATTTTATTTCAATAATTTCTGCAAAGAATCAATCTTGAATTTAAAAAGGTAGCACAAAAGAAATTACCTAAAATATACTCCATAAATTAATAAGGACTATCACACTGAGTACTTCTCCCAATTAAGTGTATTTTGTTTATAAATAAATATATATGGAAAAATTCCTAAAAATTTTACGAACATGCATAAATCTACGCTCATTTGGAGAATATTAGTTCAATATTACCCTAATACCCCATTCCATTTTTTATTCTCCAATTTGTATCATAAATCTTACTTCTAAGTCCTATTCCCATTTGTACTTGTGTAAGAGACAATTGCCAAAATGCTCTTTTACCCACTCTACATTCATTACAGTTTTTACGTATATACTAGGCTCATTCATTCTTTTAATGAGTCATGTGCTATGGGAGATAACAGGTGAATACAAGACCCCTGCTGAAAACAGCTTTGGATCCCTGTGAGCTCTTTACCTTGTATATTCTTCTTGCAACTGACCAGGATCGGGTGGAAAAAATTTTACAGCTAGGCGAAACATTGCATTCTTTGGCTCTACAAAAAAGAAAAATTTTAAACTTCACAAGTAGGGTCAATTTCTGTATTTACTCTCCCTTCCATATATTACCGTATAATTGAGCTAGTGCTTTCAAGTGAACTGTTAACATCAAACATTTTCAAATAAGATAATGTTAAGAAATTTTGGGCTGGGTATAGTGGCTCATGCCTATAATCTCAGCACTTTGGGAGGCCAAGGTGGAAGGATCGCTTGAGACCAAGAGTCTGAGACTGCAGTGAGCTATGATTATGCCACTGCACTCTAGTGTCTGGACAGTAGAGCAAGGCCCTGTCTCTTAAAAAAAAAAAATTTCCTAGACGCATGAGTCCTAAGTATCAGTTGCAAATATAAAGAGAAACTGAAAATCTTTTACATTAAGCAGAAATTACTCAAAGCAATCTTAAAAACAAATAGGAAATTGCACATTTAAAAATTTAAATATATTCCTGTTTATGTTTTAGGGAAAAGATGATACATAAAAAAGTTTATGTGTTTACACTATTGGTAGTCATAATAAAAATAGTATTTTCTAAATCCATTTATACTATAGTAAAAGAAAAATGTTATCACTACTAATTATACTGAACTAGAATAATCTGATAGCTGTAAGGAAAAGGTATAAGACATTATTAGCTGATCTGAATATCTTCACATCACTGAAATTTAGTAATAGCCATAGCCATGCAATTTTCACCAAAAAGAAAAGAGGACCTATTTTACCAAAATGCTACGGCAACCTAAATGGCCTCAGCTTATCAGTGCATAACAAAGTTATTTCCACACATTAATTCAGTACTAAAAAAATTATGGGTGATTCAGGTGACTAGAAACAACAAACAACAAACTTCAACTTACATAATTATATAAGAACTGAGAAATGTTACTACATGCCTTAATTTTTAAAACTTAACAAAGAAATTAATGAAACCATGTTCACATTCACCTTTATGTTTATAATTATAAAACAGCATTAACTATTTTATTAAAAACTACTTAAGACCGGGCTCGGTGGCTCAGACTGTAATCCCAGCACTTTGGGAGGCTGAGGCGCATGGATTGCCTGAGCCCGCAGGTTCGAGACCAGCCTGGGCAACTTGGTGAGATCTCGTCTCTACAATAAAATCAAAAATTAGCCAGGCACAGTAGTGCGCACCTGTAGTTCCGGCTACTTGGAAGGCTGAGGTGGAAGGATTGCCAGAGACCAGCACGTCTACACTTGGGTGGCTGTGAGCGTGCTACTGCACTCCAGCCTTGGCGGTGGAGTGAGACTCCAACTCAAAAAATAAATAAATAAATACATAAATAAAATAAGTAAAAGCTACTTAAAGGAGGAATCTCAATATCTTTTCATAACCAAGAGAGAAACTGCATACTTATTTTTTGCATATTAGCCCCAAATATATAAATACCATATATTCTTACTTCCAAATATAAAGCAAGCCATCTAGAACCTTGTGAGTTAAATTTACTGTTCCCCTCAAACTGGTCTATTACAGTTTAAAACTAAACAGTAAAATGACTTCCCAGTTTATCGGTTGTCAGTGATTACTTGACTACTACCTACAGAGTGGTGACAATGAACATCTGAACATGCCTTGAATTTAAACATTCCAGGACAAAGCATCTTAAATAAGCAGATTTTAAAGAGTTATAACAAAGGACTTACTTTGTACTTGCCTAATGATGGGTTTCATAGGTTCAAGCCAAATCTAAAGAGGATTTAACAGAAGAGATAAAATCTATTAAATAATGTCTCTATTTAATAAGTATGCTATAAATACAAATGTGTTTATCATTAAGAGAAATTTTTATACCAGGAATATTTTGACCCTACAGCCCCTTTGAAGTCAAATCCTGATAAAACAAACTGTAGAAGAAGCACAGCAATGCCTGCTTCAAGAAATGTGGGAAGACATTAAGATTGCTGTGTACCGGAGAGGGAGGGGCATACATCATACATCAGGATTAGGTATACTAATGTTCATCAGGTACCATAATGAACATTAGTATACCTAATCCTGAATTGTTCCCCACATCTTTAAAAAAAAAAGATTGCTGTATTATACTAGATACCTCTATTCAGTTGCTGCTATGCATACAATGGGCAACAATAACTATTTGGGGAGGTATTTCTTAACACCAAACAATTATTTGATAATACTGCATTTGTAAACAACAAATTGATGAGAGGGCTATTGCATCAAAGAGGTATGTTTTATTAGAGCAGGAAATGGTCACACTACTAAGGCTATTTGAAAGGCCAGACAGAGCTTGATGACACTAACATGTTTTTGAACTGAGTTGATGCAGGTTTCTTTAAAACAGTTCCATCTATAAATATTAAAACTCCATACTTTTTTTTGAGTTGGGATGTCACTCTGTTACCCAGACTGCAGTGCAGTAGCATGATCATGGCTCACCACAGCCTCAAACTCCTGGGCTCAGATGATCCTTCTGCCTCAAGCCTCCCAAGTAGCTGGGACTACAGGCGTGCGCCACCATGCCCGGATATTTTAAAAATTTTTTGTAGATTCAGCCTGTGATCCCGTGCCTTTGGGAGGCTGAGGTGAGTGGATTGCCCGAGCCCATGGGTTCAAGACCCGCCTGGGCAGGCGAGACCTCATCTCTACAATAAAATCAAAAAATTAGCCGGGCGTGGTAGCGTGAGCGTGTAATTCCGGCTACTTGGAAGGCTGAGGCGGAAGGATCGCCAGAGCCCAGCAGGTCGAGACTGTGGTAGCCGGGAGCGGCCACTGCACTCCAGTCTGGGTGACAGTGAGACTCCAACTCAAAAAAAAAATTTTTTTGTAGAGACAAAGTCTCGCTATGTTGCCCAGTAGTTTGCTTATATCATTACAGTAGGTCCCAAAAGGCTCTCTGTGCACTATACACATCATAAACATTCTATAACATACCCAGAGTCTGTTTCTATAAACAAATCAAAAGCACATACCCAGTAGGACTGGATGTTTTGAAACTCCAACCCAAAGTAGTCACATTCTATCAAATTTAAACGCTTCCACACTTGTGTCAATAATATCTGGCCATCCCATTTAGGCTGTAAGGAGAGAGGTGGAAAAAACATGAAGATTTAATGACTAAACAAGAATTTATGCAAACTGTGTACAAAGCTACTTCCCACACATAAAATCTTGCTTCACTTTGCCTTCCAGTATATAAGTAAGACTTACAAATTATCAAATAAATGAGTCAGGCATTCATGCTCAGAAACTGATACCAAAAAATAAGGCTAAAAAATTCCTTTAATTTTACATTCTTAGTGTGTTTTTGGCTATATTTCTTTGTAACTTTAGGTTATAGAAACCATTTCTAGTTTTGGTAATTATTTTATCAAATAATGTTAATATTTACTAAAAAGCAAAGTCTCATAGTCTCTGTTTACATAAAATCCCAGTGAACAATTTATTATTTGGTAGCATTTTACATTAGTGAGAAGAGTGTGGACTGTTCAAAAATATGGGGGGACTGACAGCTCTCCACTCAGAAGAAAAATGAAGTTAGAGCACTATTGTACACAATTCACAGAAATAAATTCCAGAGGACTAAAGACTGAAATAAAACAGAGAAGAATATCTCTACAATCTTTGGAAAAATAAAGTCATTCTAAGCACATAGCACAAAAGAAAGACAAATTCAATTAAATAAAAGTGAAAAACATCTGAATAGAAAAGCATTGAACAAAGTTACAATCTAGAATCACACTGTAAAAAAATGCTATTTATTTTTTATTTTGCTATTATGAATTCAGTTAAGAAGTATAAATGGCTATTAGGCATTTAAAAAGGTACTAAATCTTTCTAATAATAAGATAAATTAAAACAGCAAGATATAATTTTTCACCCATCAAAGGAGGGTTAAAATGATGCCAATACTGGTGTGTCTGTGAGAAAACAGTCACTTCACAGAGTGCTGGGAAGAATGCAAGTTCATGTGACTTTTGGAGGAATAATTGGAAAATACCTTTTAAAATTTAAAGTATGTATTTACCTTAGTTCCAGCAATTCCACTTCTAGAACTTTTTCCTACAGATATTCTCATATAATTGCACAAAGCTAATATGTAAGGACAAACGCGGTAAAGAATTGGTAAAATAAATAAGTGTGCATTTATCTACAATGGTGGGATAGGAACAAGAATAAAAAAAGAAAAAAGAATGTTACATAAATAATTGAAAATTATGCAACCCTGAAAAAGAACACTAAGCTCTCTATGTATTTTCATGAAATAAAGTCCGTAACATACAGTTAAGAAAAAAAAAGTTAAAAACAAGGATAAAAAGCCTCTATTTCCATATAGTATATATAGTTATTCAATTTTATAAAACATACACATCTCATGTATACATTTATATATAATAAAAATAAGTCTGGAAGGCTGTACACCAAATCTTTAAAGGTAACCACCATTAAAGGACTGAGCAGAGGTGAGTGTGAGGCAAGAACTATTTTATTTCTTTACTTTTGTAATGTCTGACTATTTCACAAATAGGCACATATTTTTGCAATTAAAAAATGCTGCAAAATTTCCATTGTTCCAAAGGACATTCGACTCCTTGAAGTTTAACAGCCAGGTTCTCACTGTATACTCTCAAAGTATTTATGCTTCTAAAATGAGAATTCTTACTTGAAGAAATAAAAACTTGTAATCTATCATAACAAAGAAGCACACAGAAAATAAAAGTATAATGAATGGCTCCTTAAGAAGAAAGATGAGCTACAAAGTGACCTTACATTGTAAATACAATTTATAAATAACAAAAGAGCAAATTTGGGTTGCAGTTGTTCTGACATGTCTCTTAGGGCCTTCCTTGCAGTGACAGCTTACTCTAATGCCATGGGCATCCAGGAGGTATGCCAGTGCTCCAGAGAGGGTCTGTTGGAAGGGAGAGACAGAACCTGGACCAGGGCTTCTCAGACAGTTAACCAGTCAAAAATCATGAAACCATGGAGTCTGCTGCACCAACTCCCTGTGCGCACAAACAACCCCTGGGTTATACGACCATCCTAGAAAGTTCTCTTGAAGCCATGATCTCTGTCCACATTTCCACCCCCTTTCACCAGGATCACCAGGGCGGTACTCCACATGGTCTCCCAATTTACAGAGCCAGTTGAGTCAGAACTGGGTGATGGAATGGGGGTGGGGAGGCTACTCACAGCCCCAGGGGTGATGGCATGCCTCTCTTATTTCCCTTCTGTCAGCTTCCTGTGCATCCTTCCAGAATCTGATAAAAAGCCAGATCATTGTGATGTTCTCTTAATTTCAGTCAATTCTACCTAATCACCACACTATTTGGTACTTAACTCTAGAACTGCCCTTTGGCACTGCTGCTGACCTATTTATCTGTTTGGGTGCATTCCTCTGATCTGATGGCAAATTAGAAGGGACTGGGTCTTCTCTATCTTGGTATCTCCAGGCCTAACCCATGGTAGACACATGGCTGGACTCCCCAGGTGCCTGTTCCTGTTCCTGATGGTTGTTGTGGGAGCCTAGTCTGTATTTCAGGCGCACAGAGAATATGTCTTCTTCAACTGCCTGGCCACCCTCTGCGAGGAGGAGAGGACTCACAGGCCTACTGAGCCCATCACCCACCCCAGAGTAGTGGCAGCCTGGATTTGCTCGAGGAGGCATGCACTACTAGACTAACAAAAGTGACGTACTAACTATGCAGACACACGTGAGCACATTCATGATGCATCCATGATCCTGCAATGTTCAATACACAGGACAGGGTTTGTAAATATGAATACAAAAATTCATTTAGTTACACATGTATTTGTATACATACACACACCCACACCCACACACACGTGTGTGTGTTTAACCTCCTAAATTGAAGTAAAATTTTACTAAACTTAAACACTTTTCCCAAGTCTATTATCCTATGTCTGAGTAACAAAAGAGATTTCATATCCTCTATGTCACCTAGAATACATAGTCAACTCCCCTAAAATCCATCAGAATCATGTGTTTTCACAAACCATGAAGGAACAGATATTTCCAAAGCTATATAAATTTTTCTGAAGCACGAGGTGGGAATAGGGGGAAGCCCTTTCAAATCTGTTTCATGGAAAATAACCTCCAAATCCCAAATAAATATGTACACGTACACTCCAACAGGAAAATTAACCAAGTACAACTTATTTAAAAGATAGAAGGATAGCTAAGTATAACGTTAGAGAATTTATTATTATGTCACAAGACCTGTAGAAAAAAAACAATCTGACGATTATTCCCAGAGAAGGCATCAGATTAAATCCAATTTACCCTCGACATATATACATTCTTTTTTTTTTTTTTTTGAGTTGGAGTCTCACTTTGTCGACCAGGCTGGAGTGTAGTGGCATGCTCACGGCCACCGCAGTCTCGACTAACCTCAGTCTTCCAAGTAGCTAGAACCACAGGCATGCACTACCACTCCTGGCTAATTTTTTGATTTATCATAGAGACAAGGTCTCGCCAAGTTGCCCAGGCTGGTCCCAAACCCCTGAGCTCAGGGAATCCTCTCACCTTGGCCTCCCAAAGGTCTGGGATTACAGGCTTGAGCCACCACGCCTGGCCTATACATTCTTAATAAAACAGGAAAAGATATGTGATTCTTTAACATCTAACAAGACAAAGAGGTCCACTCTCAACACTGTATCACTACTGTTTAAAACTGACTGGAAACAAGAGAAAGAAGAGAGATAAAAAATTAGAAAGGAGGCAGCAAAACTATCGTTATTTATAGATGACATGATTATTTACTTTGAAAACCCAAGAGCATCACTAGAACAGTATTATGAAAAAAAGTAGAGCTCAGTTAGGTGGTTAGGGAAAGATTATTATACAAAAATCAATAACATGCACACATATAGTTAATCCCCCCCCCTTTTTATTTTTTGCTTCAGAGTCTTACTCTGTTGTCCAGGCTGGAGTGCAGTGGTATGGTCATGGCTGCTGCAGCCTTGACTTGCTAGGCTCAGGCAATCCTTCCTCAGCCTTCCACGTAGCTGGAACTACAGGCATGCACCACCATGCCTGGTTAATTTTTTTGACTTAGTGTAGAGATGAGGTCTCACCAAGTTGCCAGACTGGTCTTGAACACCTAGGCTCAGGCAATCCTCTGGTCTATGCCTCCCAAAGTGCTAGAATTACAGGCAAGAGCCACCATGCTTGGCCTTAACTACCATTTTGAGTACAAAATGAAACATTAGCAACAGAAAAGTTAAAAATATTTTGGTAAGCCCATTTGGTCTATAGTGTTGTTCAAGTCTGCTGTTTATTAATTTTCTGTCTGAATGTTCTATCTATTATTGAAAGTGGGGCACTGAAGGCTCCAATTATTATTGTATTGCTTTCAATTTTCTCCTTTCAGATACGTCAATATTTGCTTTATATTCTTAGGTGTTCTGTTGCTTGGCACATATATGCTTACAATTGTTTTAGCTTCCTGTTGAATTGGCCCTTTTATCATTATGTAATGACTTTCTTTGTCTTTAAAGATTGTTTTGATTTAAAGTCTATTTTGTCTGATATAAGAATATTCACTTCTGCTGCTTTCTTTTGGTTGCCATTTGCATGGAATGCCTTTTTCCACCCCTACACTTTCAACCTATGAGCATCTCTGAATCTAAAGTGTGTTTCTTATACATAGCATATAATTGGATCTTACAGATTCAATGCAACCCCTATGAAAATTCCAGTGGCATTTTTCACAGAAATAGAAAAAAAAAACCCTAAAATTCATATGGTGATCTTGGGAAAGAAAGAAAAACAAAGTTGGAGGCATCACACTTCCTGATTTCAAATTATACTGGAAAGCTACAGCAATCAAAACACAATCCTGGCATAAAAACAGACACATACACCAATGGAACAGCATAAAATGAGTTCCTGCCCAGAAATAAACCCAAGAATAAATAGCCAATTAATTAATTAATTAATTAATTATTTTTGAGTTGGTGTCTCACTCTGTCACCCAGACTGGAGTGCGGTGGCCGCTCCCAGCCACCGCAGCCTCAACCTGCTGGGCTCCGGCGATCCTTCCACCTCAGCCTT